ACAGGGAAATCACTTCCATTGAAGTGAGTTTTAATACCGCTAATAGCCTGGGAGTATCAGGAGACACAGAGTGAGTGGTGCTTTATCAGGGTTTATTGTATTATATTTCTATATTGCCTGTAGCCAAAGCTCTCCGGGTGGCTCACAATATTTAAGTCACCCATCCAGATTTCAATCAAGCTTGATCATGCTTAGCTTCCAAGATTAGGCAGGATCAGGTACTTCAGGCTATATGGAAGCATTATATTTTGTACTGATTTTTATTGTTAACTATGATGTTACTTTTACCATTCCACTTTGTTACACAGGGTTTTTTTTTTGTTACAAGGACCTAAGTAATAGGCCTAGAAATTATGGGATGGGAAAAGGGCTTAAAGATATATTTTTAAAAAAATTAAAATGACAAATTTCATCCCCTATCCAGTAAATTTTAGGCCAATTTGCCCAGTACTTCAGCAGCCTACTTCACTAGCACCCAATTGTCTGAGGTGGAGAGACACATTGGAATTGAAGCAAGTGATCCTAGCCTATATTGAGGGAGAGGGTGCTGTTGGTTTGGGCAATAATGGTCATGCATTTAATTCCCCCACCCCTTAAAATGTCATGAACTTCTTTCATTAAGCCAAATATGCCCCCTTGTAGAGAAATAATTCCCTTGGCAACAAAAGTCAAAGTAATAAGACAAAGTCAAAAGTTAGATTTCCCTCAGGTTCCCTGAAAAAGTAATAGCATATCCCCTATTTTATCCCATTGACATGTGGGGAAAAATTGTCGGTTTAATTACAATTTCAACAGAGTGTTTTCACAGCAAAGTGGAAGAAGTGGGATTGTTTATACAGCTTTAAAAACGATCATTTTGCACCTGCGTTCACAGTGATTTTATAGTCTTTCATTAGTACTTCTGTTTGTGTTGAGATCCCTCCCAGAACCATCTTCGTTTTAGAAGGTTAGGGCTGGTCCAGCCTTGAGAGAAGCAAACGTCCCTGCATCAGTTCATGATACTGCGATGTAATTTAAAAGTAGAAAGCTTTGTCTGAAATACGCCAACCCTGAACTCTAACCCCACTAATTTCAGTCTCTTGCAGTGGCAAGGCTGGGCTCACTCAATAGCCAGTGTGGTGTGGTGGTTAAGAGTGCTCTGGGTTCTAGGCCCCAGTCAGCCATAAAGCTCCCTGGGTGACTTTGAACTGGTCACGAACTTTCAGCCTAACCCACCTCACTGGGCTGTTGTTATAAGGATAACATGGAGAGGAGGGACCTTATTAGCTACCTTGGGTGCCTTGTAAAAGGAAGAAAATTCAGATATCAATGTAATATAATTTAATAATGATAATATTCAAGGGCTTAGTATGGGTTCATTGTAGATTTATTTATTTATACATGTATGGGTTGTGGTTGAACTATGAGTTGTGCTTAAAATGTGGATTATTATGCTTTCTGAATTCACTGCACAAACAAACCATGGTTTGTTAAGCACAAACAACCCATAAAGAGAATTCATGGTTTGTTGATGGGTTGCAAAGTATGTGTTGTTTATGGTTAACAAATGATGATTTGTTAGCACATCTGGATTCAAACAGCACAATAACCTGTGTTTTGAAAACAGCACACAGTTGAATAGCAATCCACACTCAACCGATACCAAACCCTTGAATATGAGTTCTTGGTCTGCCTGAACCATTACATGAGAATACTTCTAAGGGGGTGCCTGATATGTTCATTACACCAGTTTCATGGAGCAGTGGCTCCAAGCCAGTGCCACACTGTCCCAGAAGGTAGCTCTCAAGAGCACCTGTTCTAAGACACAGTTATGCTATTGACATTTCTGGTGACATCTTGGAAGTGACCATGATGGAAGACTAATATACACACCCACATGGATTCTGTAGGCAACTGTCCAACAGAAAAACCACTTTGTTAACAAGTATAATCCCTTAAACCTTACTAAAGGGGCTTTTTAATGCTAGAATCTTTGTGCCTAGGATCTCCTATTATTTTTCAACTTCCAATGTGGAAGTGAAACATTTTATTTGCTGTGTTCTGAAAAGCCATTCATGGCAGGCTACGTACAAGGCTCTGATGACTAATAATTTTGGAATCACTGAACCATGGGAACCTCTCTGAAATGCCCATATTATTATTATTATTATTATTATTATTATTATTAACATTTCTATGCCGCCCCTTGCCGAAACCTCGGGGCGGCTTACAACATGATAAAATGCATTGAAATACAATAGTACATAATAAATTACCATTAAATATAACAATACAAAAAATACATTGATTTACAAATACAAAATTAAAATTATCAGTATAAAATAAAAATATAGGAGGAGAAAGAGAAGGAAGAAGAAGTTTCCCAGGCCAGATCATATGTTTTAACAATTGAAATGATGTTTAAATAAAAAGGTCTTTACCTGGTGCCGAAAAACCAGTAACGACGGTGCCAGGCGGACCTCTTTGGGGAGTGAATTCCATAGGTTGGGCGCCACCGCAGAGAAAGCCCTCCTCCGGGTACTTACTCTCCTAATTTCTTTCATGGAGGGTTCCCGGAGAAGGGAGGAAGAGTAAACTAAAGGGCAACTCCTTCTTGAACTATTGTATTTATTCACTTAAAACAGATGTATCTTTAAGAGGCTTATATCAGATCTGTAAAAATGTCTGCATATCTTTCCTGTTAAAATGCATTCTGCAACTTGTCATCATAATGACAAGTTAGTCTTTAAACTATCAATCCCTCTGTATTAGCATTAGGAACTCAGAGGGATGTAGTAACTTCCAACATACACAGAAATACTCATTCAACTGTTCAACAAAGTCAGAAGAGGAACCATCATCTTTGGCCAATTTCATCTGTTGAACAGCACTTAGCAGCAACCACCCGATGGCTTCATGCAGTTAAACTGGCCCTGTGGTTTCCTTGGACTTACTCAGTGAAGAAATAACTTTTTTGTTCCTTATTTCCAAGGAAAGTTGTTAAGTATGAGAACTGCCTGAACAGCCTTCTCCAACCTGGTGTCAGCCAGATGCATTGCAGCTAACACATCTGAGAAGCAACAGGTTGGGGGATCCTACACTGAAGGATTGGCCAGAAGTCCCACAGAAACCACTTTTGGATAGTTTGATGGGAAAGAGCCTTGATGGACTTTCTGTGCTTTTTATTCTGGAGTGCCTTACCAGTCCTCCCTGTAATTTTCTCTCTATATATATCATTTTCCTGCTGGTGGTTCGCAGTTTACGACTGGAACACTTGGGGCCTCCTGACATGGTGTAGGCGGCTGTGCAACAACGCACCCTTTTGGGTGTTTACACTGTCTCACAAAGTGTTGATACTGGGAGCCGGGTAAGAGCCCTTATATGGCAGGACTGTTGCCTCCAGGATTATTAGACCCTTCTGAAATAGAAACCTTGAGAGCCGCAGATGTTCCTTTAGGACACACATCCATCTGCCTGTTCCTTCAAGACCCCTTCCTTCTCATGTATCAGCTGAGTAATGAAGTCAAGGAAAGGGTTGGGTTTCCTGGGGAGGAGCTCTGTTTGCTAATTAAAGTTCCATCCTTTGTGGTTCAAGGTGGACACGGGATGAAATCCCTCCTGCAGAGCTTTATCCCTGACCTCCTTAAGGGCTTCTGACGCTTTAAAAATAGCTCTGCAAAGGCATTAGCAATTGTCACCAAGTGGGGTCAGTCCACTGCTGTTTCAGGCCACATCTGAGGTTGCTGTTCCACTGTTTGGGCGATTCAATGACCTGCATTGCTCAATGTATGCAGTAACTTCTGCTTTGTGGGGAAAGGCAAGAATGGGGTCCATGGTGCTTAGCTGTCTGAGCAGAGTTGGTGCATCCCTGCACTGTCTCTAGCAGAGCAGGGTATTTGCTGCTGCATGGGATTGAGAAGGCCATATGCTTTAAAGTGAGAACATCAATCCCTCACGATCCCAGCTTTTTCTGGAGCTTCCCCTGTGGTATAAAAGCTGGCCGTCATAAATACAAGCCAGATAACATTACATAGATAATCCTCTGAATTCTGGCATTTTTCCATCCACTTCTTGTAAGTGCAGCTGATCTTGCCCTGTTTGTCTCCGGTATGAATACAAGCCTGGTAACCTTAGCAACTGCACGTGCGTATGTGTGTGCACATGCACAATACACCATAAGAGTTCACTATACGAGGTGGGTCAGTGAGGCCTAATGTGCAGAGTGTTAATTTGGGCATCAATAAAAGAAATCCCAGATCAACTCCACTCCCAGACTTAGCTCCCCTATCTGCAAGGCTCCTTCCATGAGTTATTCTGAAGGAAAATGGGAAAGAACAGTAGCACTCTGCCCATTAAAAAGTACATAATTTATTGCTTTTATTAATAATATATAAGAATATGAACATAGAAAGAGGGTGATAGTTGTGCTGTTGCCAGAGCTGGCATGATAGCTTTGAAGGTCTAGGACAATATCCTGGCCTACAGTTCCCATCAGCCTTCATCCTTTTCTGTGCTGGCTAGGGTTAATGGGATTTATAAGTCAAAACATTTGGAGGGCCCCAGGTTGCCAACTCCTAAACTCGGGGCAAATTACTCATTACCAGATACCACCTTGATATGTCTTAAGATGTTTATTTACATACATGGCACAGTATGGGCCTGATTTTGTTCCATTAGGGCTGATGCTGTGTGTACTTGGTGGGCTTGAAGGCCACCGTCTTTGATGGTGAAATGTAATAAATAGATCTCATCTCAAATAGGAGTGAAGAATATAAAGTAGTATAAGGGGGAAAGGAGTTGAGTTCTGCTCTGATGAGTGATTGGCTAGCACAATCCTTTGAGAGACGATTAATTTTGTGGAAAAGTTTAAGTTCCTGAACTATACTGCCAAGAAAGTTCCTTTATATCAAGTTAAATTTACATTATTCTACAACTAAATGTTATGAGTTTTTGAGCATCTACAGAAGGATCAGATAATAATTCATAAGCATGTGTGACACTTGTTTATTTTTTTTCCTTAGAAACCTCCTGCCAACATGTCTGACACCGAAGAAGTGTAAGTAGAAATAAATCTGCATGATCATTAGTTTTAAAGGGCCATTTTATTTATTTATTTATTTATTTATTTATTTATTTATTTATTTATTTATTGCTGGGCTCCTTCATAGAATCAAATTACCACTTTGCACAGGCACAAAGAACAAATTCCTATTCCAAATGAAGAAATACATCTTTCAATTTAATGGGTTCGCATGACTGAGGGACACAAAATCCAAATATCCAAAATCAGTGTCACAGCGGTGCTTCTGTTTCTGTCAAATGCAGTACTGGCCGGAGTGTTGTGGCTTGACAGTACTGTTTACATTTGCTATTGATGCATTTGTAGAATATGACTTCTTAGTGGTGCGTTTTGGATTTAAGTGCAGAAAATGTGAAGGTTAGTTGAACTATCTGGAAACAGAACAAAAGCAAGTCCCTGGGCCTTTAAAAGTGTATAAAAAGATATGGGGTTCTTGCACAGAGTTATTTCATATCATACTATAATCGGAAAAGTTGTCTCTGCTTATAAACCTTTCCTCTATGTCTACCTCTACATACCTGTTTAGGGTTTTCTCTTGAATTGCAAACTTGTGCTTGGACTGTAGCACTCCAGGGTATAAGTGGGAACGCACGTAAATGACTGTTTCTTCCTCATTTGCTCCTCATTTCCCCATGTATGAAAATAGATGCCAGGGAGAAGGCTTTGAGCAGCTATTTTCCTGATTGTTTTTCTGTGTGGAGGGTGCAGTGAGGGTGGTGGTGGATTGCACTGAGGTGCATTTAATCTTGTGAGTCTCTATTTACAATCTGAAATGCTGCAAGGTGAGGCACAAGTTTATCATCTCCGTGTGAACAGAGCCATAGAAATGTGTCTGTGTCTCCCCCAGAGTTAAATTTTACTCTGGTAAAAACACAAAGCAAAGGAAGATGAGAGATTTATCTTCCTATTGAGATAGATTAGAGGAGGAGGGTCATCTGCAGTGAGGTGAAGGTAGAATGGTTTGTGGAGGAAGCTGAACAGGTGGGGGTTGCAGGGAAGTGGGAAGCCTTGGTGGCGTCTTAACTCAATGAGAGAGAGAGGGAATGCGGTTTCCAGCTTGAGGAGCAGCATTCAGATCTGCTGCCTTGTGAGGTGCTTCTGTTCTTTAGTCTGACAACAACTAAGAGCTGAAGGATATTCATTCAAATAAGGCAGACTATGTGGATTAGATTTATAAACTGCAAGACAATCGTGTAATCCCTAAAATGTAAGAGGAAGCTGGCAGTAGGCACAATTGAACAAAGTGGGACTTATTTCCAAATGTTTATTTATTTAAAACATTTTAACCCCATTGTTACCCAAAATGGGTCTCAAGATGGCTCAAGACAGGTCTCAAGTAAACATGAATAAGATTGTACTGTTACCTAATTGGAACATGGTCTTATCTTGTGTGTCTTTTCTTTTCCTTTCCTTTCTTTTCCTTTCGATAACAGGGAGCAAGTAGAGGGTGAGTATGAACAGCCTTCTTAATTATATGTACACATGCTGTAAAATGCCTAATTTTTCCAGGTAGCCTTTTGATGCACATTAACTGGAACTGTATAAACACTCAACAAAAATACATTGAAAGGTCAGATCTTGAGCTGATTCTTCATGAATATCTTGCTTAACTTACTTTGTGATCCTGAGTTTGAGGAAATGTCTGTAAGCAGCTGCTCAGAATTAGCAAGCATCCAGTGCATGCAGCCCATGGGCAACCCAGCCCTGCCTTGTCATTTAGGCGCTGTGCCTTGTGCCACAGTTGTGCCTGTAGCATCCTGTATGAGGCACACAAGGCAGGACTGGACAGCTCCCTCCAGTTGCCTGCAAAAGCAAGCAGAAGTACTCCAGCTGGCACGATGCTGCTTTCATGGCATTAGAAACATTAGTGAGTCTAGTCCACGTGGATTTTAGGATGGCTGCAGCCCTATTTTGCACTGCCGGCCTGCAAAGCCACCTTAAATGGTGCTAGTGTGCCTCCCTTGATCTTGTTTCCTTAATCGTGGGTTCCTCAAGACCCAGGAGTCCTAATCTTGATTGCATGTTAATCAGGAACAGCAGAGGATCAGACTTGCCCCGCAGTCTTTTACAGTTATTTTTGTAGGCACATAACATTTGACTTGTGTTGACCTTGCCTTTATAACGATGCCCTGTTTCACATAGCTGGGTTCCTTGGCTTACTCGACAAGGTTTATAGTTTACCCAAATTATGTCCCATCTTCCCAGCAAATGCTTTTTTTCCTTTGTTGCTGTAGAATCGCTGCCACCTGTTGGTGGCACATTTTACACAAGAGACACTTAAAATATGTCACAAGATGCCCACTCTTTCCACCCTTCACATTTTGAAATGCCTTGCCCTCTTAAGGTATGCTTTATATTATGCCTATTATAGAAGATTGGGGGACAGCGAGTAGGTAGCAGAGTGTCCAGTGTCCTTCTCCAGTGTTCAAGACGATGGCTCCACGATAGACAGATTGGCAGCCTCCGAAACAGATGAAGCTGTGCATTCCATGTTCCTTGCTCTGTATTCATTCATATTCGCAGTGTATGTCATTGGCACAGACTTTGTTGCATTGTAACCACATGTGAAAGTAAATGGTCAGCAGTGGGTGTCTGCTTGTGTGAATCTTTCATCTCTTCTCTTCAGACTATCTTCAGAGGGCATAAACTTTTAACAAGTCCTATCCTCAAGCTGATGCCATTTATGATGAAGCTGAATCACAGACCTGTAAAACTGGGATGGAATGGAATGGAAGACCGCATAGCACACATTTATGCACTGAGGCAGGACCTTCCATACTTAAAATTCTGGATAGGTCATGTAATAGAAGATTGCAGCCTGTACTCCTCTAGCTCAGGACTCAAACTTTCCCATCTCATTCCTTCCAGAAATCTCCTCCAGAGCATGTTTACTGAGAACTAAATCTCCAGGATGTCACTCTAGTGTACCTTGGTATTAGGAGTTGAGCTGACTGTCACTTCAGAATGTAAGGAGGAGATTGGGCCTGATTTCTCTAAAACAGACCCATCCTGCACATTAATAATAAAATTAAATTGGAAGCCATCTCCCTGACTAGATACAACTCCTGCAGAACTGTATATTAGAGCTGAGGTACACATTATGCTGATCTTTCAGCTGCAGGTTGGCCTTTATATTTCCCTAGTGTGCACAACTCCAGTTGGATGGGGACCTCTGCTCATGCTGGTGGAGACCTTTTGCAACCACCCCCTGCCCTGCCCTGCCCATAGCACAGTTCCACAGAAAAATCTTAGACAGATCTGCATAACCCCAAGTTATGCATTCATGAGGCAAACATGTTTTATGGAGGAAACACATTTTCATTTTATTAACTACCTGGGCATTTACCAATATTTTGATTGATGGTCCCCAGCCCCCACCCCACAATGAATTATCAGAGAACTATTAGGACTGGAGTTCAACCTCCAATTGAAAGATAGTTCTCTTCAGCACTTACTTATTTGCTGTTTTTTATATTCAAGGCTTAAATTAGGGGATTCCAAAGCCACCACTGTGCCATAGGAAAGGTTATCAGCACAAAGTAGAACAGGCAGTGATCTCCCAAAGATCCCTGGGGACTAACTGCTCAATAGCAAATGACATGATATCAGAATTGCTAGACAGAGAACCTTCTGTGGAGAGTTTTTTTTCTCATTTTACAGAATTTCAACTCTACCTATTTCAGTGGACTTTCTGGCTTATTCTTAAATCAGGATCTTTTAGACCTGCATTGGAATTCCCGAAATAACTGATGCAAACACAGTTACAAACTCTCATTTCTACCATCACTTGATTGTCTTCAGATACTGCTTTGAATTAAGATTTCTCAGAAGACCATGGGAGTCTGCTTTTGTTTTTTGCATTGTATAAAGAAAGGATGTTTGTTGACTCAGTCTTACATTTCATGTCAGTCCCTGTGCTCCTTATGTTGCAACTGCTAAGCATTTTGTTGATTCTGCTGCTTTTCTCATTTTTTTTATCTGGATGCAGAGGAATATGAAGAAGAAGGTAACCAAAATCCACTTGAAATGTTCCCCTTCTTTCTCTGAAGTCCACTTGATCTTCAACTCTTTCACTGCCTGTCATTTACCCATCTCTTTGATCTTGTCTGCTAAAGATGATATGAAATGCTTGATGAATAACTAGCACAGATCTAAACCAGGCAATCCACAAAACCAAAATTTAGATCCTGACTTGTAACAGATTAAATGCATATTTCAGCTAACTATATGACCAAGTAATTATCTGATTATTTCATTGCTCATCCAGCGAAATTCACTTGCTAGCCATTATAATTACATTAGAGTCAAATTTTTGGTGGCAGAAACTCCTATTATAATATTCTAGTCCAAAATAAGCTACTATCTGCACAATAAGTTAAATGTAGTTGCTGCTAATATGCATTTGGGAAATGTTTATCATCTTTAACAAATGATTTGACAAGTTACTGTATAAGCATACAGGAGTGTTTAGAAGATGGAGTTTAGAAAATTTCTTCCTACAAAGGCTAATCAAACCTGAGATTATTGTTTGTAGAATTGTGCATGTGATTAAGGAAAATAGATAGCATTAGTATGTTCAATGAGACCAAACATTATCTTGTTTGTTAGCTTCTGGGATTCTGATATGGAAGTGCCAGTGTGTTTTTCTAATATACAATAAAATGAAGTTAATTTCTTTCAAGTTTTGTTTTGCTGAATGCCAAGTGAGAAAATCCTCAGATGTTTTAAAGGGCAGAGCTTACTTCCAGTCTGCTGCTAGTCAATAAAATGTTGCCCTCTGATTATAATGGGAAAGAAAGGAATCCATTTGGAGGACTGTTTGTTTCTCATTTCAATTATATAGAATGTGAGTGCTGCAGACATCATGTCTGATTATTACAGATTTCATCCTTCACAGTGGATGACCACCTTCATCCAGTCTACCATGGCAATCAAGTCTTTCCCTGCTGGTTTTGGCTATCAGTCAGATGTAGGCTGGATTACCCTCCCTTGATCTGCAGGTTGCAGAAACAAATAAGTTTAGCTTGCCAAGGCATGCAGTCTCCAGAGGCTATGTAAGGAGCATGTTGTTCTTTTAGCCCAGTTGTTAATGCTATTAGGTTGGACCCAATGGTCATGTGAGCATCATCTATACACAACACAACTTCCAGAGGTGCAGTGGGTCTTCCTGTTGCTATTCTCCTGCCTCCAGTCCTCCATGTGTTACCCCAAAACTGCACCAGCAGGGTCCCTAGGGGGCTCCAGGAGGTGGAATGCATTCTGTTACTGGTTTCCAGTTAACCAGTGTGGGGGCCTAACACACTAGTAGTCATAGAGGGGGAGGGCTAATACTGCAATGGGAATGCCTGGTGATTAAAATGCAAGGCTCTCATGGCTACTGAAGGAACAAAAGAACCCCAGCACCAATGTTGCTAGGGAATATAGGCAACCAGTTTCAATAGAGAAGCATCATAATGTCAAAATCTTAATGCTAAATGCTGAATATTATTTCCTTCTTGGTATTACATTGTTCTGGCCCAGTGTAGCTCCCTGTTCTGCCTACAGCTTTAAAGCTAGCATCATAATTGAAAAGCAGTCCAGAAATATATAACATTTCATAGTTGTCAGGGCTTTTGAGAGTGAAAGTGCTTTTCAAACTCCATCTTCAGCCACTTGTCAAATTTACAAAGAGATAGTCAAAGGTGCTAACATAATACAGGCAACTTCTCCCAACAAGGGAATTTCCTTTCCCTTGTTCTCCTCTCTTATCTAACCCCCTTTCTTTTTATTGTATGGAAACACTGATTTTAATGTGAAATTACTAGGCTAGGTCTTTCTATATTTTTTAATCTGCATGTGGCTTTCTGTGAAGTGTTTGCTTTTATGTCTTTCTGATTTCTGGATATCACTCTTTGCCTGATATCTAAAATATTTAGTTCCTGTTCTGTACATTCTTTTCCCCCAAACGCTTACTTTTCTATCCTTAGTTCACAAAAGAATTTTTAAGTTCCTGACCACCATTCTAATGTTATTATCTTGTTTGTCTTTGTCTCTTATTCCCATGGTGTCACCTTTCAGAAGAAGAACAAGAAGAAGGTATGTGATACTACCTTTGGATTTATGTCTCTCTTCCTTTTTAGAAGAGTGTTTTGTTTCTTCAAAGGAATCCTGAGGTGCCAGAAGAAAAGGAAAAAGAAAAGAAAATATTAAATCCAAAAGCTTTGAACCAAGTGCATCAGTGTGGAAGGGGAAAAATCCATTGTTATTTATTTAAAGTTCATGTTTGGGTGTAAAATATTTTTGTTCTAACACATGTTATTATTAAATAATAGCCACTGGCTGCATTTTTAAAATGTTGATACTTTAAGATTAGGCCTGCTTCCATATTAGCATTTCACTTTGGGAAATTACATATTTATTTACTGGTCATTTTATCTTCAAATTTCAATGTTTGAGACAAACCATGCTGCAGGGTTCAGACAACATGACAATCTGCTCCTGGATTCATGTTGTTTTCTTTTCTTTTGCTGCTGCCTTCTATTTTTATACTTCCCCATGGAAGAAGTTCAAGAGGAAGGTAGGTGTTGAGGCTTCTCAAATCTGAGAATTTCAGAGGAAGAGGTAATAAAGCATTGCATTATTTATGGCTGTGGAAGGGAAGGTATGGCAAGAATTCTATCACTACTAATTGAATATGAAAGGATGCTGATCCTTAGGAAGCAGCTAAAAATTTCTGAAAACTGTAAAGCTACAGATATATCTCAAATTGACATGTTCACTCAGTGGTTGATTTTCTTTTAACTTCACTTGAATTACTTATGGTACAAGAGACCTGACAATCAGAATTAATTGGATGCTTGTGTGTAGTTCAGACTTCCATTTCACAGCCCCACAAGAAATCCTTAAATTACTGTTAATTCCAATGTAATGCATCCCTGCCACATCTGAGAAAAACATACAGAAGGATGCAAGTGGGAAAACATTACAATGGAATTAAAACTCCACACCAGCTTTTCTTTCTGGCATAACAGCTTCCATATGTATTCATAGGTGGAAAAAATATTGGAATCAGCTCCTACATATATGAGATTTTGGTTAGCTGCTAATGGAAGCTCTGCATGAGGTTTCAGGAAAATGCAGCCCAAACTTTGTGGTCATGAATCTGTACTAGGGGTGTGCATCAGATCCAGCTGAGTCCCAAATCCAGAATCACATCAGGCTGATTTGGTTGTATATGAGAGAAGCCTGAATCAAAGTGGGGCCCATCTAGAGATGACTGAATCTGAACACTTCTGAAGATTTGGAACAGGGAGAGACACAGAGATGCAAACTTTGCATCTTTGGACATTGATACCTTTCCCCTCAACATGTCCATATAAGGAAAGCATCCAGCTGGGGTGTGGGTGGGGGAAGAGTCTTGTGAGTGGCAGATCTAGCAGGGACTTTCATATGGTTGTACCAGAGCTCTCCAGACCCAGTGCTTGGAGGGAGGAGGTTGAAGTAATATCACAGGACTGATCCAGTACTAGCCCTCTCTCCCAGGAATGTTAAAAGATGAGGATTTTTTCCTGTGGAGTCAGTGGGACTTGGAAGGGTTGAGCAATGGGTTCATGCATGGAAAATATTAGATGTTCAATATTAGATGTTCTGTATGCTCCGTATCGATCACCACCCCATTATATTTCACTTTCTGTGGCTTTAGTGCCAATTTAGCAGAAAATAAGCAAGCGGACTAACATTGGTCATTATTCGTTCAATGTTTGGGTTTTAGCTAAGCTAAACCATCTCTGTGCTGCTTGTCTTTTCCATAACAATTGCCCACAGAGAATGAAGTATAAACACGTCCTTCTTTTTGAAAACCCCAAACTTTGAAGGCTTCTTTTGCACAAAGCTTCCTGAACCATCTGAAACTTTCCCCATCTGAAGGGACAATTGCCCCTGCAAATGGCATCCAATTGTCCCAAGACCTTGAAAAATGATGGGCAGTTTGCTTTAATATTATTGCACAAATTATTGTTCATGCATTGCACAAAACCCCTTGCATCTATTTACCCAATACCTATCATAGGTATATAAATTACTGCAGTGACTGCAAATTTCATCCAGTTTATTGATTTTCAATTATAGTCAATGAAGGCATAAGGACTGGAGTTCTGAAATGAGATTTGATGTGACTCCAAGTTAAAAATGGTGACTTCTGAACAGTCCAAGCCAAAGCAGGTTTTTGAAGTGCTGATTCAGCTTGAAAACAAATCATGTGATCAGTGCACATCCCTAATATAAGCCCATTCAGTTGACCAAGTTATCTTAAAAGTGTGATGGAAAAATTTACCACACATCATAGATATGTGGTTAAAAGTGGCATAAATTATTCTTTTTTCTATCCAACTTGCCATTAAGTTTGTCCTGCATTTTAGTGTGCTGCTAAATCATATTCTGTACATGTACTATGCATTACATGCTTGCCATCATATATATGTGCCTTTTGTTCAGCGTCAAAGCTATAGATTGACTCTCAAAAAGCAAACCAAAATGGTTTTCTGCCTGGTGTCTGCCACCATGATGTAATTCAGAAATTGGCCGAAATCAGAGTAGCGTTGTTTCTGCACTCTTGCTTCTTCTTGAGTTGGCTGTGCATTCATGTTATGCCAGTGTGCTTTCCCACCTATTACCAAACGGTCTGTGCGGCAGTTCCATGCTGGAGGATCCATGCAGTGGATAAGTATGGCAAGATATGTGAACAGCTGACAGCTTCACATCTGTTCGCAGCAGCAACACAGGCACTGCCTTGAGCCAGGCCAGGCCAGGCCATAGCAGGTGTTGGAACACTCATGCCTTTCCAGCCCTCTGTTCTCTGTCCCATTGGGATGGCAGAAATAAAAGGCTGAGATGCCATCAGAAGCGGTCTATGACCACGGTATCAACCAAATGATAAACAGATAGTG